CCTCCATCCATCCATCCAGCCACCCCCACTATCTATCTATCTATCTATCTATCTATCTATCTATCTATCTATCTATCTATCTATCCCACCACACACCCCTCCTATCTCTCTCTCTCTCTCTCTCCCCACGGCACACACACACACACCCGCCCCACTCTGTGTGTCAGAGGCCTGGGGCTGGAGGACGTGAATCAGTCTCTCTCTCTCTCTCTCTCTGTTTGTCTCTCTTGCGAGGTTACATCCGTGCCTGTTCCCCGAACGCCGGGGTTCCCCCGGTGACCTCAGCTCGCCTGAGGCCTCCTTCCCCTATAAAGAGCTGAGCCAGGCAGCTGTCTCATCACAGGCTCCTCCGGCTGCCTTGCTTCAGCCACAAACTCTGCCGGCTCCACTCTCCCCCCGGCCCCCGGCTCCCAGCTCAGCCCCCCACCAATGCAGTCCCAGTCAGAGCAGGCCGGGCCCCTCCTGCTGCAGCTGGGGCCCCAGAGCCGCAGGGATCTCTGCTGGCATCTGCTTCGCGGTGCCTGCTTTCTCCTGCTGGGGGCGCTGCTGGGCACGGTGCTCTACGGGTACTCCCACAGACAGGTGAGGGGGGCAGGGCCGGGCCGGCCGGGGCTGCGGGTCGGGAGTGAGGGGCACCGGCAGAGCTGGGGGGGCAGGGTTGGGCTAGCAGGGGCTGCGGGTGGGGAGTGAGGGGCACCGGCAGAGCTGGGGGGCAGGGCTGGGCTAGCAGGGGCTGCGGGTCGGGAGTGAGGGGCACAGGCAGAGCTGCGGGGGGCAGGGCTGGGCTAGCAGGGGCTGCGGGTCGGGAGTGAGGGGCACCGGCAGAGCTTCATCCTAGTATCCCCCCTCATTTGCAGGTGGAAGATGAGGCTGGACGGGGGGTGAGAGGCTCTGAAGACGCCGGTAAGTAACTCCCCCGCCCCCAGGCCACCCCCAAACTGGATTCTTGTCTGGAATGCATTCCAGGGAACCCAGGCGTCCGGCTCTGTCCCCCTCCCCCAGGCCTGTCCTCGGCCATGGCAATGATTCATCTCTGTCTTTCCCAACAGTCGCCCCCTGGACCGCCCTGGGGCACCGCGCCGACCGGACCCACACGCCCGCCGCCCATCTCGTAGGTGAGTCGCTGGACTTGGGGGACGCTCCCTCCGCTGCTCTACGCCCCGAGAGGGCCCCTCTCCGCTGCCCTCTGCTGGCGGAGGCTGGAATCGGGCTGCCCTGCGGGTGCCGGTTACAACAGTGGTAGAAACAATGTTTCCCCCGTCAATATCTGTTTTTTCTCAGCCGTTTGCGTCCCGATCCACCCGCCAGGCGGGTGAGCCCTTCGGCCGCTGGTTTGAAACCCACCTCCCTCACCAACCTTTCTCTCCCCTCTCCTCGCAGGGCACCCTGGCCCCTCCGGCGAGCGGCTCCGCTGGCGAAGCGACGTCGACGCCTCCTTCACCCGGGGCGGCTTCCGCCTGGCCAACGACTCGCTGGTGGTGCCGGCCTCCGGCATGTATTTCGTCTACTTCCAGGCATCCTTCCTGGGGGCCGCCTGCCCCACAGCGGACGAGCCCCTGGTCCTGGCGCACCGCGTGCTGCTCTTCTCCAACACCTACCCCCGAGACGTCCCCATCCTGAGCGCCCACAAAACGGCCTGCTCCGGGGGGGGTCCCTGGTACCGCTCCCTCCACCAGGGGGCAGCGTTTGCCCTGCAGGAGGGGGACCGGCTGTCCACGCAGACGGAGGGGGAGGTGCATCTGCTGTCCGGCCAGGGCACCTTGTCGTTCGGGGCGTTTGCCCTGTGACGCGCCTGCTGGGTTTTGGGGTGGGGTCGCCCTTATGCGCTGAGGGTGGGCTGGAGCTCCTGGGGGTGTCTTTGAAGGGTTTCACTTTGCTGTACCCCAAAATGATTAGTGTGCACACATTGATGGGGCACCCCTGGGATCAGTGTTCTGCAATGTGGGGTTGGAGGTGTAAGAACAGCCATGCGGTTTAAGAGGATCCTCAAAATATTGTCGGGGTTCCAGTTAATGTACCCCCAAACTTTCTGCACACTCACACCCCATTTAATGCTCTGGGTGCACTAGGATTTGGGGGGATTTTAATAGCAGTTCTATTAATGGGGAATCCTCAGAATATTTGGGGGGTCAACTGTACCCCTAAATTATCGGGGTGTCCCTCAATTTTAGTTTATAAGCTGTTCTGCCATGTGGGGGTGACTGTATTAACCCCACCCCCAGTAGAAGGGGGACGCAGCTGAGTTTTTGGAGGGGTTCAGGATTAGACACTCCAACTTTATTGGGGTCCCTTTTGATTTAATTAAGCGGTGGAGCTGGGATTTGGGGTGTAGGTGAGATTTTGGGGGACTCAGGATTGTTTCTTGCAGCTGTTCCCCTTCAAAAGTGGGGCCACAGTGACACTAATTGGGTGAAAACACAGACATATTTGGGGGGGTTCTGGGAATAGACACCAAATTATAGGGCTGTCCGTTGCTAGGTGATCATAATGTCCTCCTGGATTTGGGGTGTGTGGGTGAATGCAACACCCCCACACATTGTTAGAGAGAGAATTCTGGGGTGTAGCTTCTTCAGCCTCCCCCCCAGCACCCCAAAAAACGTGTTTTCATCCAAAGCTCCCCCACTTGGAGCTGGGGCAGCCCCACTGACAGGAGACCTGCCTGAGAGTTTTCAGGGGGCACGTGACCCCCCAAAGTTACTGGGGTACATCTCTCTGTTCCTGGGGGTGCCCAAGTCTAGGCCCCACCCCCAGCGGGGGGGCTGCGGATCGGGGAAATGGGGACGAGGCGGGGGGGGGGAGCCGAGTGCTATTTATTGTGTTGTAAATTATTTATTTATGAGGGGGGGCAGCTCGGCCCCCCACGAATGTATTTATTGATGTCAATGAATTAAAGCCGGACTCGCGACTGGGCTCCGTGGTGTTTTCATCTCGTTTCTCTGTGCCCCAAAGGTTCAAATCCCCTCCCCCACTCGCACCCCACAAATGGTGAGGGGGTTGGGGGAGATTGCGGGGAGGGGCTTGTACAGGGGGGTGGATCTGACTGGCTCAGCTGGGACACACCTCCCAACTGGGCGGGACTCCTAAGGTTAGGACACACACCCTAAATGGGAGGGAGGGGCTCCCTGACTGGGACAGCCCCCCCAAAAGGGGGCGGGGCTCCCCTGGGCTGGGACAGCCCCCAGCTCTGACAAGATCAAGGTCATCCTAATGGACACTGCTTTAGTTTGGGACACCCCCGCCCCGGACGCCTGGGTTCGCCCGCCCCACCGTGCCTCAGTTTCCCCACTGGTGCAACAACACCGACTTCCTCAGCAAGGTGCTGAGGGCAGGCATAAGAACATCAGAGCGGCCAGGCTGGGTCAGACCAAAGGTCTGTCTAGCCCAGTGTCCTGTCTCTGACAGCGGCCAATACCAGGTGCCCCAGCGGGAATGAACCGAACAGGGCAGTTATCGAATGATCCATCTCTCGTCGTCCAGTCCCAGCGTCTGGCAAACAGAGGCTGGGGCCACCATCCCTGCCCAGCCTGGCTAATAGCCATTGATGGACCGATCCGCCATGAACTTATCTAGTTCTTTTTTGAACCCTGGTCTAGTTTTGGCCTTCACAACATCCTGTGGCAAGGAGTTCCACAGGTTAACGGTGCGTTGTGTAAAGAAATACGTCCTTTCATTGGTGTTAAATCTGCTGCCCGTTAATCTCATTGGGTGACCCCTAGTTCTTGCACCATGAGGAGTAAATAACACTCTCCTCCGCCCCGGTGCCCCCTTGTGGCTGAGTCTGGGCATGAGCTCTCAGGTACCCTTTCCCGGCACTGCCCCCCGCCCCCGGGACTCGGGGGGGGGTCCCTCTTTGTGACTCTCCCCACCCCCGGCAGATCACTGTATCGTACACCCTTCTGGGGTCTCAAAGCCCCACCAGACCCGCTGGGGCCCGGCCCCCTTCCCGTCCCGGCCCAGCGCGAGGGCCCCCACTCGGGTTTGACCATCCCAAGCATCCTTCGCCCCCCAGGGCAGCAACTGATACCCCTCGGCTTCCCGCCAGGCTCCGTAATCCAGGGGGGGATCCCAGGGCTTCCTCTCCCCTTCCGGAGCACCCCCTCGTGTCCCCCATCTGCAGGGTGTGACAGCAGCTCCCCTCCCACCAGCCCCATCGTCTTTCTCTCTCTCTCGGTCTCGGGAGCGAATCTCGCCAGGGGCTCTTTGGAAACCTCCCCGGGGTTTTTACGGCGTTTTCCGCTTTCAGTTCCTGGCCCGGGCTCCGGCGCTGGCGCGGGGCCAGTTTTGGCTGGACGCGTTCCCAGAGGTTTCATCCCCCACCGTGCTCTCCTGGAACGGCCAGAGACGCCCGGACCATCCCCAGGCAGGGCTGGCAACCCCAGCAGTGCCAGGCGCCCGCCCTTTGCCCGGTCGGCCCTGTCGAGCGCACCGGCTCGGCCAAGGACCCGTCCCGCTCGCTGAACCGCCCTCACCCGCTGCGGCCAACTCGTGCGCCGGCTTCCTGGCTTTGTCTCTGCCCGGCCCCTGGTTCTCCCCCCGGGAGCAGCCGCTCGGGGTGACTGGCCCTGGGGTGGGGATCGCGGGGGGCCCGGCGGATGGGGCTGTCTAGGCCTTGGCCAACCTGCCGCCCGTCCCCCGCAGCCGGAGCACCAGTGAGGGGTGCTGGCCCCAAGCGGCTGCAAACCCAGCCCCGGGACCCAGCGGGTATTGACCCCCAGGCTTCCCTCCCCGCCCCCAAGCTCCACATCACCCAGGCCTCTGCTCGCCAGCAGCTTCATGGGCCCCCCGGGTGGGGGATGTGCCAGGGCCTAGGGCCCATGCCAGCCAAGCGTGTTCCCCATGGAGGCGAAGGGGTCACCTCAGAGCCCGGCCAGACCCAGAGGGGGAGGGATGGGGGGACAGCGGGGTGAGGGAGGGATGGATGGAGGAGTGGGGGGGGTGAGTGGATGGAGGGAGGGAGGGACGGAGGTATGTATAGATACCCCAATAGCTAGAAGAGGGGCGTGGGGGTGTCTAGCGCTGTCTGGCTGGGGGGCAGGGGCGCCGTGGGGCCGGCATCCCCTGGGGCAAAGACAAACCACCCAGGGATCACCAGAGCCGAGTCCTGCCGTTCCCCAGCGCAGCCAGCAGGGGGCAGCTCCGGCTCAGCTATGGCAGAGCAACCGACCCAGCCAGCCAGGATATGGGCCGAGCCGGCTCCTCTCTGCCCTTGGCCCCATTGCAACCGGGTCTCCCCTCTAGGGGGTGCCGGCTCCACCCGGCCCCAGGGCAGGGACTGGCTGGCTCAGGGGGGCAGGGAATGGGGCCCAGGGTCTCTCCCCTCTAGGGGGCGCCGGTTCCCCCCTGGCCCCAGGACAGGGACTGGCTGTCTCAGGGGGGTGGGGAATGGGGCCAGGGTCTCTCCCCTCGTAGGGGGCGCCGGTTCCCCCCTGGCCCCAGGACAGGGACTGGCTGTCTCAGGGGGGCGGGGAATGGGGCCCAGGGTCTCTCCCCTCTAAGGGGCACCGGCTCCCCCCTGGCCCCAGGGCAGGGACTGGCTGGCTCAGGGGGGCAGGGAATGGGGCCCAGGGTCTCTCCCCTCTAAGGGGCACCGGCTCCCCCCTGGCCCCAGGGCAGGGACTGGCTGGCTCAGGGGGGCAGGGAACGGGACATGTGGGGACAAGGCAGAACCAAAACCGAAGCGCATTGCAAAAGGCCGTTTTGACTTTGTCTCCTGGCGGTGGAAGCGAAAGCAGAAGAAAGTGGCTGAAAACTCCAAGTGGGACTCTTGCTTCACGAGGCCTGAACTTTCAGGCTCTCGGATTTTCCCGTGGGGGGAAGGCTGGGGTGGGGGGGGGGGTTCTTGGGAAATAGGCCCCCCCAAACCCTGATCCATCCCTGCTCCCATCCCTCCGGATCCCACTGCTGCCCCCCAGCTTCTGATTATGTCTCAGGTTGTTCACCCACAAGCTCTGCCTGTCGCTGGATCGCTTGGGGGACCGGAGTAGGAGCATCTATACCCCAATCTCTCCTCCCACCCTACACTCACCCCCACAAGTCTGACCCCCTCGCTACCCAGCTGTTACATTTGGGGGGCTCGCCATCCCACAATCACCCCAATCTCTCCTCCCACCCCACACCCTCAAAATTTGCTAGTGCTAAAATTTAAGCCCCCACATAATGACCCCCCGGCCAGGGGTGGGGGTCAGCGGAGCAATGTAGACACAGCCCCTAGTGGTTTGGGGATTGTCTGGCATTGTCCCCCACACACACCTGACAGCCCCCAAATTTGCTGACATTAAGATCTGAGCTTCCTAAGATCTCCCAGGGGAGGGCGAGGCGGTGAGACGTCCGGCCAAAGGCGTTTCGAATTCCCACCCATGTCATGGAGTTTAGGGGTCCCCCAGTACAGAGCCCCCCACATGTGCCAGCCTTGAGAGCCAGCCCCCCAGATAACCCCGTGGGGAGACCCCGGCTCCCGGAGCGGCATGTGGGTTAGATCCACCCAGTCTCATCTCTAGGGCTGGGTGGGGTCTGGTGGGTTCCCCCCGAGCTGATCATCCCCAGATTTATTACAGGTACACACACACACACACACACAGACCCATGCACACCTACACACACACAGACCCACACACAACTACAGACACACACACCCCTACACATAAATAGACCCATGCAGAACTACACACACAACTAGACACTCAGAGCTCCACACACAACCACACACACACACACACACACAGACCCACACACAACTACACACACATAACTGCACACACACACAGACCCATGCACAACTACACACACACAAACTACACACTCATAGAGCTACATGCGCAACTACAAAACTACACACTCACAGAGCTCCATGCACAACTAAACAACTACACACAGACCCACACACAACTACACACACCTACACACACACACAGATCCACGCACAACTACACACATACATACAACTAGACACTCACAGAGCTCCACACACAACCACACACACACACACAGACCTACACACAACTAGACAATCACACAGAGACCCATGCACAACTACACAACTACACACACACACAAGTAGACACTCACAGAGTTCCACGCACAACTACACAACTACACACAGACCCACACACAACTAGACAATCACACAGAGACCCATGCACAACTACACACACATAACTACACATATACACAAGATCCAGGCACCACTACACAAACACACACAATGGCACACACACACAACTGCACACACAGTGACCCATGCCCAACCACACACACACCAACACACACACACACAGACCCACACACAGAGAGATCCACACACAACTAGACACACACAAACACAACTAGACACACAGAGACTCCCACACAACTAGACACACAGTGACCCACACAACTACCCCCACACACAAGATCCGTGCACAACTACACACACACACACACACACAGACCCACATACAAGACACCCACGGAGACTCACACAACTGCATACACACACAACTACACACGGCCCTGCACACAACTAGACAGACACACAGTGACCCACACACAACCAGACAGGCACTCACAACCGGACACAGACACACACCCCCCACACACCCTTCTCAAGGCCCCTCACTCTCACCCCTTTCCCACCCCCGTTGCCTCACTGGGGGGGCAACCAGCCCCCCCACGCCTGACCCCCCAAGTCCATCATCTGACCCCCCCAGACAGAGACGACCAGACCGGCAGGTCCCCGCGTGGCGGTGTAGGAGGTGGGGACCCCGGTATCCCCGGGGGGGCTCCCCCCGCCCTCTCCAG